TTCTCCAGAAAAAGATATATGGGCATTTGAATGAGTCATGTTCTCGGTTTAAAAACATATAAACATTTATCTGTTTCAGAAACATTTAAAACAGCTTGTCTTCAGTCTTGGCCAAGTAGCCCTTTGTCTCTGGAGAGAAATGAAGCAGGAACATCTAAGGCAGGGGTGTCCAAACTTTGGCAACTCCCAAGACTTTGTGGACTTCAACTCCCAGAATTCCCCAGCCAGCAGACTTTGCTTATAGGAAGTCAACAAGAGGTTACCTTGCCTAACAACCACGGGATTTGGTTAACAACGGCGACCTCCTAATCCCGCTATAAAGGGCTTTAGTCAGACCCCATTGGGAATACTGCGTCCAGTTCCGAAGACCTCACTTCAAAACAGATGTCGATGAGTTTGAGCGAGTCCAGAGACAGGCGACAAAATGGATGCAAAATCTGAGGGATAAACCTATTAGGAGGAACTGAGTATACACAGCCTGGAGGACAGAAGGAAAAGGGGAGACATGATTGAAAGGCATGAATAAGGTTGTAGACGGCGGTATTTTCAATATTAAGCAAAAATCAAGAACACGGGCATCACCACAGACCGACAGGAGGGAAGTCCAAAAGTAATGTTAGAAAGCATGACTTCATAGAAAGAGCAGTGGAAGCTGGGAACCAACTTCCAGAAGAAATAGTGGGTTAATCACCACCACCCTCATCATTCAAGCCATGGTCTCTTCACTAAAGGATGACGGCTTCTTCCGCATGTTTCCAATTAAAACAGTCCTGAGCTTTCTTTTGCTAATTCGGTCCTCCATACTTGACGATATCGTCGCTCCATCTTCTTTTCGGTCTCTTTCGTGGATGCTTTTTATCCAGTGGGATCCGTTCTATGACCGCCTTGGTCCTCCTTGCTATGCGACCAGCCCGTTTCCATTTCCGTTCTTTGACTCTCTTAACGGCATCTTATTCTTTTGTTTGTTCTCTAATCCACATCTGGGTCTTCCTGTCTTGTCTTGGGATGCCGAGCGTTGTCTCTCTCTATGGCTCCTAGCTTTTGTATTGATTGTGAAGTTAGTGTCCATGTTTCACCGGCATATGTTAAGAGCAAGTAGCGCACACTGATTGAAAACTTTTCAGGCACGGGGAGGATGTCCTTGAAAATTACGCTTAGCTTGTAGAATTCCTGCCAACCATACTTAACATGCCTTTCAATTTCCTTTGTTGTATCACCTTCCACATGAGTATAACTTTACGGACAATTCCACATAGGTACAAAAGAGGAAGCCAGTTCTGAAGTTTTCGCGCACAAAGAGGTATAGTTAAAAATCCCCTTTTCTCTCCTGGGCCACCCGGTGTTCATTGTCCATCGTCAATTACAGTCAATTTGTTTTGGGAAATGATCTCAACGCCTTGGAACTTTCCCGTCTTTCGACCTTGAGCACCAGGACTCTTCTTTCCTCTCTTTTTCTGTTTTCTTTTCTCTCTTTTCTTTTTCTTGCCTTTTCTTTTTTCTTTTTTCTCTTCTTTTTTTTGTCTTTTTTCCCTCTTTTCTCTTTTTTTCCTTTTTTCTTCTTGCATTCCACAATTCCCTCTCTTGCATGCCAAACCTCCGTTTCTGTTGTCTGCTTCCGAGGGGGGCGGGATGCATAGTGAGTCAAGCATGATACATATACAAATGACCATATACATATACGTATATAGGGCCAGACGTGTATACTTCACATGCATTATGCGAAGGCTTAACTGTTTGGAGAAATCTATACAGGTCGTCCTTTGTTTTACAACCGATGACTTAGCCATCATTCAAAGTTCCAACAGACCTAGTTGGGGTATACTCACCACCCAGATTCTATGTTTCAATGGCTGCCCTTTCCCTCCCACTGCAGTCACATGATCAGATTTGGGCAGCCAGCAACCATTCGCTTTGATAGCTATTTGCAGCAGACATGTGGTCACATCTTATGACGGTTTTGCCCAAAATTGGCATTTGGTTCTGGTTTGGGGCAAAATTCATAGTCGTGTTGAACCGTTGGTTTGCTTAATGGCCAATGGTGCTCGCTTAACCACCTCTACAAAAGAAAAAGTCGTAAAATCATACTTAACAACGGTAACAAGTTATGACTGCGATGGGCAAGTCCCATTAGAGTTGTAATTCAAGGACTACCCATAATGCTGGGGGAAGTTAGAATAACAGGACAGCCAGACCAAGACAGGTGGACTCAATTACAACAGTGGTGGATGCCTTGTTGGAAAATCTGAAGGGGCATCTTGAGGACAGATAAATTTTATCTACTCACTACTAAGAGTCAAGTGGCTTGATGGCACATTATTGTTCACATATCCATTAAGCCTAACTGGCTTCCTTTGTAATATATTCTACTTTTATTTTAGGCATTTCAATTCCCTTTTTACCTTCAATGCTGGAGAAAAGATGTTTATCTCGCTGGGTTTTTTGTTGTTGTTTTCAGAAAAATCCAAAATCAAAGGACAGCTTCTTCAGTGTACCCCCTTCTCATCGATTTACTCTAATCTGACTTTTGTCAAAACACTCTGGATGTTTTGGAGATTCAAACGCGCCTCTTCTTGGATCCGTGCTTTACTAGTAACTCTCTCCTTTAGAAGGAGAACGGAAAAAATATTGACAACTCCATAAACAACTCAAAAGAGGCTATAAAAGTACCTATAAACTCCCGCTTCAGCTCGGAAAATAAAAATGTGATTTGTGAACCGGTCACGAGGCATCAGAAATTCATACAAATATTACCCACCTAATGAATTAGAACGATTTCCTGCCAGGAGCAGCAGCTGATTGACCTTGTTCAAGCTTGGAAACTAAGTTATGTCAAGCCTGATTAATACTTGGACAGGAGCCTAGCAGAAAATTTTAGAACTGTAATCTAGAAAGTCCAAACAAAACAAAAAAAATGTCTCAGGAATTGGCAGGAGCAAACCTGTTCTGCATTTGTGCCAAGGAAACACCAGAACTTTATCGCTGAAGTCAGAAAGGGGGTCAAGCTCATCCTGAAGGAGACTTAAAACTTTTATATATTAAACTAATCCTCAAGGGATTGCCTGCAAGATCCCTTTTGCAGGGAATATTTGCAACGAGGCCTTTTATCCCAGAATGTCAGTTTAACTCAAGTCCAGCTATATATTTTAAATTTCAAGTTTGCGCTAACACATTTCCTTTCTTCAGCGGGATTGGTTTTTACCACTCCAAAGTGCCGATTGCCATGGTCTGCAATAATAAGATGAGTTTATCTGGCTTCGGAGCATGTCACTTATTTTACAGAAGAAGCTTCGTCGGTAAATTGCCATACTTCATTTGTAAAGGCATTTAAGCAAATAGAGTAATAGAATGATTAAAAATTAAGAGAAGGGACAGGCTGTTTGGGTGGGCCTTTGAAATCGACGGGACGAGTTTTATTAGAATGTTGCAGTTCTTCAGTTTTTCAGGGATGATTAAAAAAACATCAACGAGGCACATTTTGCAACGTCATGCAGAATTCTATTAAAATGTTTTATTGACCGGGGAAGATGGAAAGGCCTTTTGCTGTTTAAAGAACATACCGTATTTTCCAGCGTATAAGACGACTTTCTAAAGTGTGGAAATCGGCGCCGAAGTCGGGGGTCGTCTTATACGCCGAGTCATCTTATATGCTAGAAAATACAGTATGTATTAAATTTATTATAACTTGAAGTTACCACTTTCCAATTTTCCATGTAGTGAATGACAGCTATGAAAATGAAGGTATTTCCCCAAATCCCCAACTCTACTTATGGGGCACATTAACATTAATTTTCAGTTATATTTTCCTACAATATTAAAATCAAAAGTGTCACAGAAGTGGAAATTTCTTCCAACATCACCAATAATTTTACTGAGCACTATTGGGACTGCTGTTCAGCTTTCCTTTGCTTTACAGACATGTGAAGCTTGTTAAGTACATGGGCTCGCTGTCAAGTTATTTTTTCATCACTGTCGTAATTACAAACAGTTGCTAAACGAGGACTAGCTGTAGTAAGAATTTTGGTAAATCAGTGCTTTAGAAAAAGAGGTGCTGAATCTTTTTCCTTCACACTTTGGTTTTTCTTTTCTACAAAACTGTTTTGTAGATTTCTTTTAAGTTATAGTTGCTAAGATAGTCCTATACAATTCCATTAAAGCCTTCCTCATTAAGCTTTGTGACAACAATCTAAAAATAACTAGGGGAAATGTATTAATTTTGGCAAGAGATTTTAACATGTCAAAAAATACTGTTCCAACATTTGATGTCCAGAGGCTGTTTTGGTTTTCTGTTTTTGTTATGATTGCTTTGCTTTTAAAGAAACTTAAAAGTCGTGGTACTTCAGACTACATAAATATTGATATTGATATTGAAAGTCGTTTGTTAGGTTTCCGGGGACAATGATCTATGTCTATGTAGCAATATAAAGTGAAAATTGATCAACTCAGCTGAAAAATGCGATTTGCCAAAAATGCGGCTGAAGCATACAGAAACAGTAATTTTTGTAGCATGGAGTCTAATTATAGCAAATGCCTAAAATATTTATTTACATTTCTGAGCAAGGTAATTGTCAATGGTAAACCACCATCGGCAAAATTCCCCTCTGAAGGAAACATAGGCAAATGTCTCTATCTCTGTGTACAAAGTAATAGACAATAGAGGTGTTACTTTCAAGTGGGTTAGATGGAGAAACACAAGTTCTACGATTCCGCTGAAGATCGTGAGAGCCTGAAACCTTTTCAAGGACACCAGAACAAGTGCGGATTTGAAGCAGATGGTTCCCATAACAAAGCTGAACTTGTTTATATGGACTACGTAAGACGTTAGGGGTTTGGCTGGGAAAATTATTGTTTAAGCCTATGAATTGGTGCTGGAACCTCAGAGCTGGCTGAGGAATTCTGGGAGTTGAAGTCCACAAGTCTTAAAGTTGCCACGGTTGAGGACCTCTGACTTATGCCACAGTTTATTTCTCGACTAAGGGAGATGAAACAATAAATTGCCCAGATTTTAGTATAAATAGACTTTATTGAAGTCAGTACACTTCTGCAGTGAAGCTGAAGGTTGTGTCTACATAAGCACATTGTAACATTTCACTTCTAAAAGGAATGTCAACAATTACAACGATCATGCACGCCATGGTGGAGACTCACATTTCAGAAGCATTTCCAACCATTTCTAAAGAAATGCTTACAACATTGTTAAGAGAAAAAGAGAGAGAGAGAGAGAGAGAGAGAGAGAGAGAGAGAGAGAGAGAGAAAGAGAGAAACTACTTTTCATAAACTGCAAAACATTGATCAGCTTTCCCCCCCCCCGCCCCCCCCCCGGTATGAGTTACAGTGTGAACAACACACAAAGAAAAGAGAGGCATACATATTTAATGTATGAAATTAAAATGGAATATTTACTGTGTAGAAGAAATTAGAAACCTCCCAAATAAAGGCAAAGAGCACAACCTGGAACTTTTAAGAACGCCATTTATCGTTTGAAGCTGTTCTCTGAGCAAGTTCAGCTCAAAGGCCAATCAGTACTGGGAGTACTCCTTCGACTGGAGTTTGACGATGATGCGGTCCAGCTGTCTCTTTGCTTCGCATTGTGGGAAGTTGCTCATGTCGTAATATTGGGGAGCAATTTTCACCAACCTGCCAAAGAAAGGGAAGTCCGTCACATTGAGCGAAACACCCGAATGTGATGCCGGCTGTAGCAATGGCTCGGCTAGGAGCAGCAGTATCTCACAGTAAAGGGTAACCACGCAATCAAAGGAGTTTTAATCCCTCCTACATCATGTAAACACGCTGTTATTTTTTTAATGCCTTCAACTGGAAGGTTAATCTTCAGGCGATAGAAGTCAGTAATGATTCATATACAATGCAAAAGAGCAGAGTTGGAAGGGACCTTGGAGGTCTTCTAGCCCAACCCCACTCCCTTCCAAGCAGGAGACCCTATATCATTCTGGACAAATGGCTGCCCAATCTCTTCTAGAAAACCTCCAGTGTTTTAAGCACCCACAACTTCTGGAGGCAAGTTGTTCCATTGGTTAATTGTTCCCACTGTCAGGAAATTCCTCCTTCGTTCTCACTTGGAATCTCTCTTTGATAAATTTTCATGTTACTTCTTGTCCTGCCCTCAGGTGCCACAGTTTAGATTTTATAGATTATCAAACGGCCTTTGCTGAAACAAATACTCCTTCCCTGTATTTTATTTGCCCATATTTGGATTATAATGCTGTAGGAAAACAACTTGCTATTGTAGATAGATAGATAGATAGATAGATAAATAGATAGATAGATAGATAGATATAAATATAGATATGGAGACAGAGATAGAGATAGAGACAGAGAGATAGATAGAGACAGACAGATAGATGATAGATAGGAAGATGACAGACAGATAGATATCAGAAAGAGATGGAAGTCAAGGGATGTGCGTGCGTGCGTGTGTGACACAAATCTCTGCCACAATCACTCCTGGGTAGAATCCAAGCCCTTGAGGCTATTCTCTTAAGCAGAAGAAGAAACCAGTAAGACATTTCCCAGAGTTTGCAAGGATATTTTTACAAGATACCAAGAAAGCAAGCGAATCAAGAGCAGCCACACTTCTGGGGTTCTGTTTGGAATGTGGAGAGCCTGCTGTGGGCGCTGTCACAAGATGGCAGCCATGGAGGAATGGGCCAGAGGGCACAGTAGCTAGAAAACTAGTGCGCGCCCCAAGCCCCATGTGCACCTAGAGGTATTCTTGCAGATAAAGGCGGAATTAAGAAATTGGGAAAAACAGAATAAAGGCAGAATTGGAAAATCATGCTTTGCTGCATGCATTTCGTATTTTTTTTAAAAAAAAAATCCGAAAGCATGTAAATAATGTAACAAAAATCAGACAAGGTAGGGAATTTGGTGGCTATCAAGGGAGACATCCACAAAAGCTTTTAGCCATCCATCACTATGCATGTTCCAAATAACAAAATATGATGTTATCTAAGAAGACAATACAGACATTTTCAGTTCTGATTCCCCGTTTTAGATTTCAGCTTAATCCTCGGCTTCTTAAAATCCCGTTTTATGCTTCACAAAAGAATCCAAACCTTACTGAAAATAGTATCCCTTTAAAAAAAAAAAAACCTTTGCTGTTAATAACCACTGGTGTTATTTTATTTTCTCTGCTTACAAAGAAGCAGGACCCATTTTCTCTTTACAGCATTTGGGCTGTGTCCTTCGTCAGTGGTGGCTTTGACCCCCCCTCCCCCCCCACCACCACCGCCCCATCTGAATCAAAGGAAAAACAGCCGAGATTAAGGCAAATTTAATTAAAGCAAAGAGGGGTTCTTCCTGGTCCGGGTGTCCTAAAGTTTTAAACAGAATGTAGTTTGTACTGCTTCAAAAAAAAAAAAGAAAGAAAAAACGAAGTGTACGCACTTCACGGTCAAGTGGAGATGGTTAAAAAATAAAAATAAACTAGCTTTGAAGAAAAGCAGGCTTACCATTCTGGTTTGATGTCTGTACAAGTGCGAATGTAGTTCTTTGTGGTAAGGACAAATTCGTTGTAAAGCACCCATTCCGGTTTGTGGTCGAGAACTGTCGAGGGGTGCAGCTGAACTACCTGGTTATCTTTCACCGTCAGGTAATGCCCCGTCCGTTCCAAATGGGCCACCTAGGGGAGAACGAGGTCACAGGTCACTTCTCCAGCCAAGACAGTCGTGCTTAAGGCTGAAAACAATTTTTCGTATGATTAGAAGCCTCTCGTGGTAGGAAATCTTTTCAGCAGGAATGAAAAATCAAAATCTGAGAAGATGATTTTTCTCAAGCAGAACACTCCCATGCCTTGGACCGCTTTAAGCATCCCTGGTTGGGTGGGTGGGGGGGCTTGCACGACCCTCAACCATCCCACACAACCCACCCCCAACCAGCACTTCCCCTCCCAATGACCCTCACCTGATGGGACCTCCCCATCACAAGTCCCTCACTGAGGACTCACACCTCACTTAACAGGAAGGAAGACAGCAGTAGCACTTAAGACTTATATACCGCTTCACCGTGCTTTACAGCCCTCTCTAAGCAGTTTGCAGAGTCAGCATATTTGCCCCCAACAATCTGGGTCCTCATTTTAACAGCCTTGAGAGGACCGGACACTGAGTCAACTTTGAACTGGTCAGGATCGAACTCCTGGCAGTGGGCAGAATCAGCCTGCAATGCTGCATTCTAACAGGAAGGAAGGAAGGAAGGAAGGACAACCCTTAAAGACTTATATACCGCTTCACGGTGCTTTACAGTCCTCTCTAAGCAGTGTGCAGAGTCAGCATATTTGCCCCCAACAATCTGGGTCCTCATTTTACCGACTTGGGAAGGACGGAAGGCCGAGTGTTCCTGCTAAGATATCCCGCTTTGTGGAAGCGTGACTAAAACCCCTCCAAGTCGCTCAACCATCAACTCACACTGTGTTTTAACAGCAACAAAAGATTTGAGAAACAGAAAATTTATTTGGGGGGGGAGGGGGGAACGTACCTGCATGAAGTAACCGGTAACCAAGGCCTTTCGTATATTGATGTAATAGTCCCTGCTGGTGAAGTCTGTGCTTCTGCGTGGCAGATTAAACCTGTCCATGATTCGTGACAGCTGTTGGCGTACGTTGTCTGCAGACATGAGGGACCTGTAGTTAATGAAGTTGTCATAGCACCACTGAACCGATTCATGATCTGCAACGTTTTAAAAAAAGAAAAGGAAAAAAAAAAGTCACGAATCATCCAAAACTCAGCATTTTGGACCAAATTTAACACAAACGCACAATCGGAACCCAGCCGGATGGCCAAATTGAGTCAAACCAATTAAACTGATAAGTCTTTTCAGTTGTATGGGGTTTTTTTTAAAAAAAATGTAAAAATAAAAATACGCAAAAGCTACATTTGCTGCAGCGCCGAGGAAATAAACCCCAAATTGTTTTAATTTTCTTTCTTTTTTTCCCAAGGAAGCCAGGACAATAGAAAGCAACGAGGGAGAATCAAATCAACTGAAGGAAGTGATTATGGGTTGGTAGATATAAAAATTAAATCTGCCGTGGGCATCTCGTACAGCCCCACAAGGCCTGGCCAACTAAACAATTGGGATCAATTTCTCCCACCAACGATGTTCTTGTAAGACTATCAAGAATCTACGTCAACCAGTTTTTCCCTTGGGTGACTAATTAGTATTTTAGTCTAGACAAACGCAAAATCCATCCGGCAATGTATAACTTGTACACTTAATCAGAGTGAATTATTTATGAAACCATCCCTTTTTTTTTCCCCCGTGTTAATGTGGAAATAAGACTGCTTTTCACTTTTTTAGCCAGCGTTTACCCGTAGCCTAGGAATATTCTTCCCCTACTGATATTTCTAAAGATGATATTTTCCCCCCACTTCCATTACAGATCATCGGTCCCGAGAGCAAGTTAAGAATTTGGATCGGGATAACAGTGGCCTTAAAAATAAATTTAGTGGCGTGGCTACAGAGTCAGCACCACCCTCAAAGTAACTGGGAACCCGGTTATAAGCTGCCTAAAACTATGCGATGCATACGCAACTGGTTGTGTGAAAAATGCCCTGAAGCCCCACAAGGACAAGGTCAAGGTGAAGTAATCTTGCTGGCATTTGAACTCTGGTGCTGGAGAAGACTCCTGCGAGTCCCTTGGACTGCAAGGTGATCCAACTGGTCAGTCCTACAGGAGATCAACCCTAACTGCTCTTGAGAAGACCAGATCCTGAAGTGGAGACTCAAGGACTTTGGCCACCTAATGAGGAGGAAGGACTCCCTGGAGAAGAGCCTAATGCTGGGAAAGATGGAGGGCAAGAGAAGAAGGGGACGACAGAGAAGGAGGTGGCTGGATGGAGTCCCTGAAGCAGCAGGCATGAACTTAAATGGACTCCAGAAGATGGTAGAGGACAGGAAGACCTGGAGGAATGTTGTCCATGGGGTCGTGATGGGTTGGACACAACTTTGCAACTAACAACAACAACAATCTTGCTGGAAGCAACCTCGATTCAAACTCTTGAGGCCCAGCCGGGCCAAGTGGGATCTACTACTCACTTTGTTTAAAAGCGTGGTACACATTCAGCAACGTCAAATGATCTCCGTCTATGTGGGCGAATCGCATCTTGGCCTCGTCGGCAGCTTTCTTGGCTTCCGTGGGGCGAACAAAACACTGTGGGACTAAACAAGGTTGGTATGGGCCCAACACAAACGCCCATATCGATGAGTCACGCATTCACAGACAGAGGTACAAGGCCTAGCTAGGTCAGTTCACAGAGCATAGGGCAGGGCAGGATGGCCTCCAACTGGATCTTGGGCTGTCTACTACCTTGATTTGGGACATCAACACCTAACCACATCTGCAAGACAAGAGGGGGTTTCAAAGCTACAGAAGGCCTGGTTATTTTGACTAGAAGTAGGCATCCAAAAAATAATCAGAATAAGTATAGTCTAGCCCAAGGGTGGGGGACCTCGGCTTTTTATGACTGGTGGACTTCAACTCCCACAATTCCCGAGCCAGCATGGGGGAACTATGGCTCCTTTATGACTGGTGGACTTCAACTCCCAGAATTCCTGAGCCAGCCACTGGCTGAGGGGAAAGGGAGAGGTTCCCAAGCTGAGCCGTGCCGGTGGAGGAATTCTGGGAGTTGGAAGTCCACCAGTTACGAAAGAGCCAAGGTCGCCCACCCACGGGCTAGCCTGAAGACCATCAACTGGAAGGGCGGTGTGACCTCGGCACGGGATCAAATGCTGATAGCTCTGCCAAGCGCTGTGGAGACCAAACATCCTCACAGGAATAACCCATGGTCAAGAGCAACCTGGGGGGAGGGTATTCAAGAAAATAAGCCCCCCTAAAAACAGTTAGGCAAATGTCCCCTCTCCTAAAGGAGAATATGTGCGGCTCGGGGTTGATATGAGGGGGTCCTTGGTGCTCTCTTGAGCCTGGTGGTTTTCTTTGTAGACGTTTCATTACCAGACTAGGTAACGTCATCAGTGCGCCAATGACGTTACCTCATTTGGGTAGTGCAAGAAACGTTTGCAAGAAAGCAAGCGAGCTCGGAGAGCAACGAGGATCCCTCAAACATCCCCCTTGTTGGCATTGCATTATAGCTCCATCACCATCAGCAAGCATTGCTATCAGCACTGGAGGTCAAACACACGGGTGAACAAGAGATGATGGCACTTGGTGGTCCAGGGCTAGGACTACAGCGGCAGTATTGTGGCTTATTCTCTTTAGGCAGAGCCTTCTCTTTATATAATGCCATTTTATCGTTTTGGAGGTCATGAACCATACTTTCATTATTTAGAGTAGGTAAATATCCCATAAAGCTGTTCATTCAAGACTTTAAAAATCGGTTCCTTTTTTTTTTTTTAAAGAGATGACTTTTATGTAGGAAAAGCTGAATCTTTTCATTAAGAGATCCTGTAAAAATTCCCCACTTGTTTTACGTAGGCTTTTAAATGAAATTAAATCACCCTGGAGAGAAGAGAACAGGTTAAAAACACTGCTCTTTCAATGCCTTGCAATGTTGACCCTGATCAGAACCCAAATTCAAAAAATGTCCATTTTAGGTTTTCTTTTTAAATGTAAATCTGCACAGTTTTTAGATTGGCCTCTTAGGAACCACTGGGAGAAGACTGCAAAAAAAACAGCACAGAAATTGAATACTACGAACAACTGCAATATGCCAACAGCAATATTGCAAAAGGCTTTATTGCTTATAGCACAATTTAAAAAAAAAAAAGGTGGTGAAAGTATAAAGTGAAATGTTTCTGCAAAAAACAAATGGAAGTCAACATCCAGAAACTGAAAATATAGGAAACTGTGTGGCACTAAGGTGGCCGAAATCCATTAATACTGAAGCATAAAAACTAAGTACATGTACAGTCATGTTTATATTGCAAATTGAATAATGAAGAGCAGTACTAATTTGTTAGTACCATTTAGTGAAGCTCTTGGGGGGGGGAGGTTGGGGGGAGAATGGGATTATTTCAATTTAGACAGTTTTGGTCGGCAAATGACTGTTTCTCCTTCATCTGTTAAGCTTAAGACTGTTTCAAGATTGCCATCGCAACTCTTCCTAGAGTGAAGGTCTCAATATACTGAATTATTTCTGGGAAGAGAATATTCTGAACCTTGTTATTAGATGGTTCCCATATTCTTTTGGTTCAGTCTGATTATGTTTACTGTTTTTTGGGGGGGAGGGAATGGGGAATAGTTAGTGGCACTTTCTGGAAACCAGTGTAGAGACAACTATTCCTCAATTATGTCCAAGAAAAAAATTCCACACAAGTTTCTTTTCCACTGTGTATGTATGCTACAGCTTGAAGAACCGTAACTTCATCGTTTTTACATATAGGTGTATAAAACATTTTGCAGCTGTTTGAGAAGGTGATTTTTTTTTTAAGGAAAATGATCAACATACTCAACATATACAATTAGAGGGGATAAAACATAACCCCTGCATTTAAGAATTCAGCTCCTCGGTGATTGCGTGAAGAGGCAGGGTTCAACCTGCCACCATCTCCGCAAATAACCTTACAATTTGCTCAACACCATGATATTCTGCCCTGCCCATCTGCTCTGAGTCTGAATTGTCAAAATTCGGCAATAAACATTGTAGCTAGTTTTTTTTTAGGAAAAGGAAAAAAAGAAAAAGAATATGCTGCAATAACTTGATTTGCTCATCTCACCAAAAACCTTTACCTTTATGCTCTACCGCGAACTTGGCACATTTTGAGACCCGCAAAATATGTCTCCTCTAACGCTCCTTCAACTGGTTAATATTCCCGTCGCCCCACCCAAATATCTATTTATTTAGTTATGGAGGCTTTAAGCACATCGTTTCTTTCCCTTGCTTTTTTTTTTTTTCTGGGACCGAACCGGTGTTATCCAGAAGGGGGCAATTCAAAGGTTTAAGCCAAGGCCCAAAGAACCACACTTTTAATTCTTCATGGTCAAAAAGTTGTTAGGTTTGGATAACTGAAACGGCCGCTTCTCTGGGAACTCAAATTTCGAAGCAGTGCATGCTTTTAATTTATTTTTCTCTCTTAAATTTGCATGGTCAGGCTCTAGGAACCATCTGGATACTAGCTAGGAAAAACCATCCAAGATAACCAAAGACCGTGAATAGAATAGAACTGGAAGGGACCTTGGAGGTCTTCTAGTCCAGCCCCCCGCTCAAGTATATTATTTCAGACAAGTGACTGTGGTTCAAACTCATTTTTCCCCCAATCATATTGGTTTCTACTTTTTTAAAAAAAATAGTATGCAATGAAAATATTAAGCTGATGCTTTTCCCTCCAACGTTCCCTTTAAACAATGGATATATTTTTCAACTCTGCATAACCTCGTGAGAATTCTCTTGCGTGTCTTTATAACCTACTAGTTGTGAATCAGGCTGTCACAATTTACAGGACCAAGAAAACAAAGCCAGTTCTTATTATTACCACGGCTCACTTTCACAGCCAGAAATGAGCTTAAAAGAACTACAGTTTCTAATGAATAAGAAGTATGTTTCCTATGGTTTTTTTTTTTTTTTGGCAAATCCTTTTAACGGGCAAGGATTATTATTATTATTTTTTTCTGGACGTGAGAGACGAGTTTAGGTCACCATTTCACACACAATGAGTTCTGTAGCTTCAACGTTGATTTCATTTACGAACTTTACTCCGTGGTGAAGCCTACTACAGAGAGTGCGTCTGATCGGCATAAAAAAATCAAGCTTTTTAAAGACCGTCAGTCCTGTTGCAGGAATATTACAAGCTTCCCCTAATTGGAGAGCTGAGTTTTGACTGGCATCTCTGTCCTTGCTATTACCTGACAACATGGCAGTAATAGATAGAATCTCATTAGAACAGTTGTAGTCGCAACTTGCAATAACCATTTTAGCCAGCTGTGGGTCAAGGGGAAACTCGGCCATCATGGACCCCAGTTCAGTCAGGTCTCCGTCATCGTTTAAAGCCGCTAAGTAATTCAGAAGCTCCAAGGCTCTCATCAAGGTTTCTGGAGCTGCAAAACACACAGACACACACACACACACAAAGAGAGACACACGCACGCTGCTGTAAGCAATGCCGTTCCCGAAGCTGCCGAAAACCAAAAACAAATGGCCCTCAAATTAATTCAGCAATAAGTAGCAATTAACAGAGCTGCAGTTGGCTTTGGACTAGTGGGCAATCCCAGAGACTTGGCCGCAGACGGACAGGCTTACTGAGCGTCTTCCAGCTTGTAAATGGAAAGGTTTATTCCGCTAGATTTGAGATGAATCCATTTTCCTGGACTAGGACAGGTTCTTAACATTCTAATTATTATTAAAGTATTATATGAGCCATGGTGGCGCAGTGGTCAAAATGCGGTATTGCAGGCTGACTCTGCCCACTGCCGGGAGTTCGATCCTAACCAGCTCAAGGTTGACTCAGCCTTCCATCTTTCTGAGGTTCGTAAAACGAGGACCCAGATTGTTGGGAGCAAGAGGCTGACTCTGTAAACCGCTCAGATAGGGCTGTGAAAGCACCATAAAGCAGTATATAAGTCTAAGGGCTATTTATTGCTTCCTTCTTTTCCTTTCCTTCCCTTCTCTTCCCTTCCTTGATGGTGCAATGGTTAGAATTCAGTACTGCAGGCTGACTCTGTCCACAATCTGGGAGTTCGATCCTAATGGCTCAAGGTTGACTCAGCCTTCCATCCTTTCAAGATGGGTAAAATGAGGACCCAGATTGTTGGGGGTAAATATGCTGACTCTGCAAACCGCTTAGAGAGGACTGTGAAGCGGTACATAAGTCAAAGGGCTATTGCTCTCCTTCTCCTCTTCCTCCTCTTTTGCCTCTGGCTTGCTGCAGACTGGCGCTGGTCCATGGACCTGTGATTGGGAACCCCTGGGTCTATCCAATTAACAGAAAACGATATCCAAACATTTGGACAGACACCTTCATTTTAATTTTTTCCCCCCCTCTCGGCATATTTTCACCCATAGTACAGTAAATCTATTGTAAACCTATGAATTTATTCAACATGCTTGAAATTTACTGCCAAAAAGGACCTGTAGTTTTATAACTCTGACCTTCATCGAGATGTTAGAAGCACAACTGGAGCAGAGCATATCAAGATGTATGAGATAAACCTGGTTCTCCCCAATATATAATACAGACTTCTAGGGACCCAGTCTTTCTTCCCCGCTATGGGACCCCCCCCCCAGACACATTTTGACAATCTAGCAAGAATTCTCCAAATTTCCAGCCAGAAGCCCTTAGGCTGGGGAAGACTGCTAGCAGGAATGCAAAATATTGTATGCGCAAGATTTAATGCCTTCAATTATCCTTTCACAGACAGAGTGATGAAAAAGAGGACTTCTACCGATACAACTTAGTGTATGAAAACTGGTCCTTTTTGGATCTAACCTTTTCCTGCCATTTCAAATTCCAGGAACAAAAGTTAAATCCACATCTAAGAAGCAAACCAAACGATTTGTAGAACGGTCTTACGATACATACTGGTTGATGACCCAATAAAGTTATTTCCTATCAAATACATTGCTATTATTCTTACAGCGACTGGTCAGTGTATTTAACATCCTTTGCTATCAAAGACTCTCCAGTCACTACAAAATGGATCACAGATACTTTTTTTAATAATAAAGTGTACCTTTAAAAAAAAAACAGCTTTTGGCACTAACTGATGGTCTTTGTTACACTACAATGAATTTGGTACGTTCACTTTCAGAGAACTCATGATACAAAAAAGAAAAATGTATCTTGCTATTGCTGAACATTAGGTCCACAATTTTAGGAATTTTTAAAAAAAATATACCTGGCGGGTCCATAAAATCGAAGTGAACTAAATCGTCTATACCAAGCTTCTTCAGCTGTAATACCACAGAACCCAAGTTTGACCTCAGAATCTCAGGATAGGTGTTGTCCTGAAAACAAATAGTTTATATATTTTAATTCAGTTTCTCTTTTCAATTAAAAAGTACAGGGGTAACAGAAAGCGGCTAACCCAAATGGAATTTTAAAAGCTCATTTCACGTTTAATGGTAGCTATTTACTGAAAACGGCTACCTTGCTTGCTAACAGTGGCAGCCATTTTAGTGCAAATATATTTATATCTACAATTGTGAAAGAGTCATGAAATTTTGAATTGAGAATGAAAGCAAATGAGCACAATAATAATTTTTAAAAAGGGGGGGAGGAGGGTGTAAAAGCAAATAAATCTTTTTGATACCAGAGAAGCAAACATGGTGGATGAATAAGAATATTACAATCCAGAAAAATAAACCGCTCGCTCATTTACTGGGTCTCGTTGTTTCCTAGCCCAGAAGATAAATTATTATGGCTTGCGATAAAAAAATATATTTCCATGGATCCAAATTCTGCGCAACCATCGCTTCCGATCAAAAGCTAATGAGCTGCAACTTTACCAACCTGCATCTCAGTTTTGTACGCTTTTTCTGTGTAGAGCCGGAAACATTTGCCGGGCCGAGTACGACCAGCACGGCCAGCCCTCTGTTGAGCGGAAGCTTTGCTAATCGCGGTAACCAACAGAGATTCCACCCTGATTCGTGGATTGTAGACCTATTGGGAAGAAGAGTCATATTTTTAAAAAAAATAAAATAAAATGTTCACATGGTATTTAATGGATGGCAACTAACCAAGGAGAGAAGCAACCTAGAACGAAGGAGAAATTTCCTGACAGTGAGAACAATTAACCAGTGGAACTCCTTGCCTCCAGAAACTGTGAATGCTCCAACACTGGAAGTTTTAAAGAAGAGACTGGACGGCCATTTGTCTGAAATGGTATAGGGTTTCCTGCCTGAGCAGGGGGTTGGACTAGATGACCTCCAAGGTCCCTTCTAACTTTGCTATTATCATCATCATCATCATCATCATCATCATCATCATCATCATACCTTTTATTCATTCATTTATTTATTTATGAGAGTTATATACCGCTTTAAGTGCAAGCACTCTCTAAGCGGTGTACACCAGTAAGCAATGTGTGTGTGTGTGTGTGTGTGTGTGTGTGTGTGTGTGTGTGTGTGTGTATATATATATATATATATATATATATATATATATATATATATATATATATATTTACATTGCCCCCAACAATCTGGGTCCCCATTTTACCTACCTCGGAAGGATGGAAGGCTGAGTCAACCTTGAGCCGGTGAGATTTGAACCGCTGACCTGCTGAACACAGTCAGCTAAAGTGGCCTGCAGTACTGCACTCTAACTGCTGCACCACCTCGGCTCATTCATTACACGTGAACTTCAGTCAACTGAACATTCAAATTGACTGGCGCTGATGGTTGACACAGGTTGCTACCAGCATCCTAGGTGTCAACCAGGTATCTCCTTAAAATATAAGATGTTCCGAGTAGCGCAGGTTTTTGTAACATTACTGGAGGTATTGCAGGAAGCTGCAGTTTCCTGATGTATTTTGCAAAGTTTTTGGACATGGTGCCCCGATGACAATGCATATCATTGTTACACGTTTCATCCATAATCGCAGTTTCGATGGCCAGGTCGTGATATTTCATAATTTTTTTCCAGTTTTTTCTTTTCAAATCTGGCATCTCCTGGTACAGCGATATCAATCAGCTGTACGCTTATTATTATTGTTGTTGTTATTATTATTATATTAAAATGTTCACACTGCATTTTTCCCCTCTAAAAATCTTCAGCCTCATCTTAAAAAAAAAAGGCCTCTTATTTTATTAGTCTGTTGACCTTTTATTGACTGATCTTCTCCCCTTTAATATAACACCTTTTTTAAAAAAGAGTTATGCTACAGCTTGTGGAGTGTTCTTGAATTTTTTTTCCCCTCCAAAGTCAGAGGAAAAACTCTAAATTGAAAGTGGGGATCTGAATCAGATACCCCCCCTCCCTTTCAGCTCATTCTTGGTGGTAGGATCCTAGGAACAGACCAGCTCGGTCACTGTCCACCATCTAATTTCTGATGGACCCATCTGAATTGCTCACAAGCGGAAGATGGAAACTCTATTTGAAAGACTGACATCTGAAGGCACGCTGCTATTATTCCAGAAGCTTTTCCCTAATGTGGAGAAGAGGTAAAGGAGATAATAGGCCTGCCAAAATGTTTTTTTTTTTTTCCTTCTCTTCAATTGTGAGCAAAATATATTCTCCATGGTCAGGTTGCTTGACATAGCCTGATGTACGGATATCCCAGTGTTTATTTAGGACTATTTATCCATTCCCCATCCTATGTATTTAGGGACCACCTGTACACTTTATGTGAAATTATTTCTCCTGTACGCTCAAGCCCTTGGAAATGTTGTTAGAGGTCAGGAATCGTTAACAGATAAACCCTGCCAGCCAATAAGCTGCCTAAATTTAACGTTTGGCCTTAAAATTCATTCTCTTTCCGTAAACAGAATCTGGAGACGCGGCTGATGATGGTAATTTTAAGGAAAGCTGAACAAAGGAGCCCATTGGAGTAGCATTTCGGTAATTCCAAAAGCCTGGAAAGCTTATTTCAGAAATCAAGCTTGAATGTGAAGACGGCGGAAGAAATTAAGGTTTAAGATGTCGTGAAATAAAGCCACATCTAAGTACATCGGAAGATTTGAAGCATGGCATCCTTGGGAGAGCAGCAAAACCCAGATTTATTCTGGCTTAAATCTGAATATATGCAGGTTGGGTTGGGGCTTGGCTACAGCAAAAGGCTGGACGGAACGCATGGATGGTGCCAAATAAATAGTATTTGAATCCTAGGCAGATAGAAACTTTATATATGGGTGGTGGCTGCCCTATTTATCTGTCGCAGATGACCGTGCGAAGGAACAGCAGGCAACCTGGAGGTGCTGACAGAGTTATACTGAACATCAAAAGCCAAAAGCCATCACGCGAAAGAACTTTAACCACCATTAATCTGCCTGTCAGTTAAGATTATGGAGGCTTCCTGGCTGTGTCACATCCCAGGGATGATCACAATTTCTGTTGTGGCATCTCCTGCTTGGAAAACCACCTCTCTAGAGATTAAGCCTCCACTAACAATTTAAGTCCACGCTAAAAACCTTTTTAACTTGTAAGCGTTTAACTCACAACAGTACTGCTCTGGTACCCCTGGACATTGCTGTCCACATATTTTGTGCCCTGTGTTCCCCGTTATATTGAATGTATTTCAATGCCGCGTATTTAATCGACGGAGTTTTTATATACATTTGTGAAGTAAACAATTTGTTCCTTCCATGGATCCAAATAATAAATCCACAACAATACAAGCAGAATGGAAAATCTACATCAGTTTCATCCTAAAGGGGATCGGTCAGGCGGGAGTTGTGTGTGTGTTATGCATTTGTGTGGGTGTGGGTGTTTGTATGTATGTGGGTGTACACATATGTATGTGTGTGCATGTATTATTTGTGTGTATGTGTGTATATATATGTGCGTATATTGTTTTTGTGTGTGTGTATATGTATATGTGTGTATGTGTATATATATATGTATGTGTTTATGTGTGTATATATGTGTGTATGTGTATATATGTATGTGTGTATATGTGTGTGTATGTGTGTGTATATGTATAAATAAGTGTGTATATGTGTTTGTGTATATATGTGTGTGCGTGTATGTATGTTTGTGTATGTATAAATATGTATGTGTATGTGTTTGTGTGTATATGTGTGCGTGTCTATGTATAAATATATGTGTGTATGTATGTTTGTGTGTGAGTGAGTGAGTGAGTGTGTTTATATATGTATAAAAGAACTTTATTTACCTTTTGTTTCGCAAAGCCAGGATCAATGACGAAAACAACCCCGTCTATTGTCAATGATGTCTCAGCAATATTAGTTGATACGACCACCTGTCGAAAAAAGACACGAGGGTTTTCTGCTGCCCATGTTGCACAGAAACGTTAAACGTTGGGGGCACGTTAAAAAAGTGACTTTTGGAAGCCAGGTGCAACTTCCAGGCAGAGGAGGTCCCTCAGACCAGGCAGAAAAACGGTGGAGTAACCAAAGAGCAGATTAAAAGAGAAACCCTGCAACGCGCAGTTGTCTCGTATTGGCTGGGTGCTCCTACACTGATCATACCACAATGGTGCCCCTTTCAAAATCCTTCACATTTCTACTTAGAATTCAGGACTCTGTGAAATGCAGGACTGTCACTTAGGTCAAACAATCCCATTCCAGGCCAGTTGGACCTTAGAAGTATTTTTTTAAAAATAAATGTTTCATTAATCTTCTATTTTCACAATCGCGGGCCCATCAGACAACGTGATAACTGACTCCATTAGTGATTCCGTGCTACGCGTGAGCTTCTTCAGACTAAGTCCGATGTTACACCCTCCAGGACATCCACTTTGCTTCTGGCAACAAGCATTTTTCCCCACTGAGCAAATACAATTCTTACTGTTGTTAGTAAATATGCAACTGCGTATCAACATTTGTTACATTTTTCTCAAAGTGTCAATAATATCAGTTCAGAATATCTTTTCTAACCAAAACATATCTTAGTTGCATTGACACTCAGTTTCCATTTACTTCGTCCATATCCTATTTTTGCTTTTTTTCTTTTCATTTTAATTCCCCATCCACATTCAAAATATCCCAGTCATTTATAATTTCAGAACAGGTTACATTTGGGGAACCCAAAGCTTCCCTTAGTGCAAGTTCTTAGCATATTCTTATTTCCCTTTTCATGCCCAGATACGATATTCTGATTACAAATCCTATCTATCTAGTTGTAATAATACTATTAGAAGTATTTTTAGGGTTGTCCCAGGAGACCTGCATTTCAACAAACAACTGTGAAATTGCAGGTCAGGTGTGGCTGATGGGAAAAACCTCTTCTCTGTTTACTTGCTTCCCAGCTTTGGGGCCTTACACTGTAAAGACTTTGGGCTTTGCTTGTAAGACACACGTGGGCTCCCAATGCCGCAACTGGTATGGAATTAAAATTATTCACTCCTCCTAAGAGAGGGGTCAAAGAGGCCATCTAGGTCAAAAATTGAACAGAGGGGGAAGGACATGACATCCTCTATCTCCACTCCACAACACACAGTCCTTTCAGCAGTTCCAAGAAGGCTCCACACCCATTTGCACTACTCAGGTGACCCTGAGGACACAGACAAACCTCCAAGTGGCCTCAACTCTCTAAAAGAAGGCAAAGGACCAGCTGTCTGCAAGGAGTATAAATCCTTCCATTATTCCCCATCTTCCAGTCGGAAACTACCTTATTGGGCCTTTTATGCATTTTTTTTTATTGTCAAGTCCTGTTGGAGTATAGTGCTAAAAACAGGGATTAAAAAATAAATAAATAAAGCTTTAGCGAACTTACCTTTCGTCCTATCCCACCAGTGGGCTTTTTGGGAGGTGGGGGCTCAAAAATCCTCTGTTGTTGCTGAGGGGGAAGTGTGGAATATAAGGGGATGATTTTAATGTCACCCACTTCAGGGCCCAGGTCGTCAATTTCACGCTTTATCCTCTTGCAGGCTTCATCTATCTCCTACAAAGAAAAGTCCAGGGAAAACGTTATTTTTTTTAAAGGCATAATGGCTGTACAATTATTGTTTTAAAGCAGTTCTGCTGCAAAACAGAATGCTTTAAAACAGTGGTTCTCAACCTTTTTAATGCCACGACCCCCAACCGGTCGTAAGTCGAGGACTACTCAACCGGTCGTAAGTCAAGGACTACTCAACGGGTGCAGCACCGTTTGCAGAATGGGACTTTTGGCAGGCTCAGCAGGGCAGAGACAGCCTGGACAATTCCTATTGGCTTTTGAAAGCCAATAGAATTAGGCTCTATTCAAGAGAGTCTGTTCTATTGGCTTTCAAAAGCCAATAGAATAAAAGGGAGGAGCACAGCTAAGGAAAAGGGGGGAAAAAATGGCAGACTGCGTTGTTTGGCAAACCCCGTGAAATGGTCATTCGACCCCAAATGGGGTCCCGACCCACAGGTTGAGAACCACTGCTTTAAAACTTCTTTGTACACTGATTGAATTTTCAGTAGGGCTTTCCTCACGGTCCAAGGGTTTTGTTTTTTGTTTTTGAATCGGGGAACGTACCAGCCTTATTTGTATTCAACAGCCTTTTTTTTTTTTCCTTTTGGTCATGTTTCCTAATTAATTCTCGACAAATTGCACTAAAATTGAAATCTCTCACCCAGGAATATGAAACCGCACTCGTGACCTTTTCCATTTTCACAATCTGAAGGAAATTAATGTGCACGATATTTTAAATAATATCCAATTAAGCCTGAATGTCACGTATCACTAATGCAATTATAGGGGAAATTTGCTTTATCGTACCTAATGAGAACAAGCACCTTGGCAGTATAAACATTGTTGTTCCAAAAAGAAGGGCTCTCCCTCTCTACATTGTGAGGACACAGAGCACACCTTTGGAGCTTCACCAGGAAACATTAGGCATCTCTGAGTCAAGTGCTGCAAGTAATCTGAATCTCAAAACACGTGCCACTTAAATCATTCTTAAGAAACCCAAGAAACAATTTCAACAAGTAGTTTCGCCTATTAACAAAGAGAGCCCTTGTACTACTTGCAGGTTAATCCACATGAAATGGATGAATTAGACAGACAGCAGCAGAATAGAACTATTTATATTAGACCAAAAATAAATGCAAGAAGTTAGAGGTAAGAATTGTGAAGCATTCCCTGTACAGAATTGTCTCAAAACCTACGACAATACTGAGAGAGGGAGGGAGGAGATGGGAATGGAAGGGAGGGAGGGTGGGAGGAAGGAAGGAAGGAGATGGGAATGAGAGGAAGGGAGGGAGGGAAGGAAAGAGGAAAGAAAGAAGATGGAGAGGGAGGGAGGAGGAAGGAAGGAAGGGAGGGTGGGAGGAAGGAAGGAAGGAGATGGGAATGAGAGGAAGGGAGGGAGGGAAGAAAGAAGATGGGGAGGAAGGAAGGATATAGGGAGGGAGAGAGGAGATGGGAATGGAAGGGAGGGAGGGAGGATGGGAGGAAGGAAAGGAGATGGGAATGAGAGGAAGGGAGGGAGGGAAGGAAAGAGGAAAGAAAGAAGATGGGGAGGGAGGGAGGAGGAAGGAAGGGAGGGAGGGAGGAAGGGAGATAGGGAGGGAGGTGATGGGAATGAGAGAAAGGGAGGGAAGAAAGAAGATGGAGAGGAAGGAAGGAAGGAAGGATATAGGGAGGGAGAGAGGAGACGGGAATGGGAGGGAGGGGAAGGAGGGATAGATAGGGAGGGAGGGAGGGAGGGAGGGTGGGTAGGTAGGAAGGAAGGAAGGAAGGAAGGAAGGAAGGAAGGAAGGAAGGAAGGAAGGAAGGAAGGAAGGAAGGAAGGAAGGAAGGAAGGAAGGAAGGAAGGGGAGGAGATAGAGAGGGAAGGGAAACTGCGGATGAACCGGCTCAGTCGTAACTTCAAAGAAGCCCAGAGGGCCACCAAGGCAACTCCTTCTCGCTGGGCACTTGGAGCTGCTTAGCAACCCTGATGGACTTGAGATCTTTCTTCCTCTGGGAGCCCCAGTAATCCGGAGGGTCCGTCCCCCAAGGAGAAGGGAAGGCAGCTATTTTCCTGAGCTGTGTTCCCTCGCCATGCGTGGCTTTGTACTTTCCACCCAGGCTACCAGCGGCGGAAAGCAACACTGGCAAATGTACAAGCAGTCACATTTGAAATTGTGCGGGTGCCGCACGCAGGCCTGGCCTCAAGGCATCCCGCGCACGCAAAGCTCGTCCACATCCCGTCTCACGTATTCTGCTTGTTGTTGCCAATGGTCCAAACCTTCCAATTTCTCCAGCCACCAACTAGGAATCCAAAGCCCAGAATACTGGAAGGGATGTTGGAGGTCTTCTAGTCCAACCCCACCCCCCCGGCTCACGCAGGAGACCCTGCACCGTTCCGGACAAATGGCTGTCCAGCCTCTTCTTAAGGGAAGACTCATCCCTTCTGGATTCAACCCTTGAAAATGGAAAAACAAAAGCCTTCCCTTCCTTCCTTCCTTCCTTCCTTCCTTCCTTCCTTCCTTCCTTCCTTCCTTCCTTCCTTTCCTTCCTTCCTTCCTTCCAACTCGCCACTACAACAGACTGTTTTGTAAAAACATGAAATAGGATTCTCAATGGCAGAATTCCAGAAACGGCTAAAAAAACCACGGAGCGTTGTTTTAATAAACTCACCCACCCCTACAACAATGGGAGAATATTTCGTTGGCTAACCAGGAGCAACCGTGCGTGGGGTGTTTAGAATTTCAACCCCAGAAACCTCCATTTTCTGCATTGAAGGATAGATAAACACAAGAGAATGCCAGCTTAATCCCAACAGATGTTTTAGAGAAGCAGCCAATTTCATGGCCGTCAATTCCCCACGCCTGGATTGAAGGCACTCCAATCAGGCCCAGAGCCTTGCTTCAGAACTCCAGGACCAGCCTCATCTTCCACAAGTGAAAATTAAATTTAAATTCCTAGGCTGTAAACATTTATTATTATTATGGATCATCGCACGGTCAGCCAGATGTTCAGACTGGATTTGGCATTTTGTCTACCTATCGAGTCCTTACCCAGGACCTGGGATAGGCAGATGTGGATGTTTGATGGTATTCCAGATATCGTCGCAGGATGGAAGCAGTTCCTAGTAAGGCTGCCTTTTGCAATTGACTAATAGCGAATTTGTCAATGCCAATGATAGTGTTCAAGTGGTGCTCCAGTTGTTTTGGGATTGCAGCCAAGGAGCCTATGACTATTGGTACTACCCTTGCTTGCTTTTGCCACAGTCTTTCTATTTCTATTTGTAGGTCTTTGTATTTTGTTATCTTCTCAATAATAATAATAATAATAATTATTAATATGACTACCAAACAGAATTACTTCATCTAGTCAAAAGCCTTTTCAGTTCGTAATTCTTGGTCACACCGATCAGCGCTATTCAGAAACCTCGCGCACACAGCCTACAAACACCACAGCCTTTCACTGTTTCCTTCAAAATGGTATTTAAGGCATAAAGATCACTTGTGCCTCCAAAATCCTGGCCTCTTTATAAGCCCATTTAAATGGTGGCCATCACCGTCCAGATTCAGCCAGTTTCATTCCATACAGCATTAACCTTGCAAACTCCCAAGCTTCTTCCTTCCGTTATATATTCAAGATGGACAGTGATTAATATTTATTTGTTATGTATATGTAGGGGGGTGGGTCTATACATACGTTGTATATAGTATGTTTTAGGTGTGTGTCATGTACGTGTTTCACTTTGAGAGCGGGCAACTCAATTTCATTTTTGATGTGTGCCGTTGTGCCCACAGTAAAAAAAAAATGACAATAAAGGTTATCTTATCTTATCTTATTAATAATAGTTAACGGAACAGAATTCTTCAATAGAATAGAATATTCTTTATTGGCCGAGGGTGATCGGACACACAAGGAATTTGTCTCCAGTGCAGAAGCTCGCAGCATACGTACAAAGAGCTAAGTGACAAGTCATAAATCGTAGTTACAATCATTAACCCTAAGTTACAAACAACTGATAAATTGTAAGGAACCAATGGGAGAAGACAGTAGGAAAGATGAGAAGGAAAAAAATGAGAAATGAACAGGGAATTTAGTGTTCAGCAGAGTGACGGCACGGGGGGAAAAAACTGCCCTTGTGTCTACAGTAGTGGCCAAATTTCTGGAAACCTTTTGGGGAAAAGGGTATTTTTGAGCTTTAATGGCTAATAACACCACTTTTCTTTTGGAGCAGTACTGTAAAATTATATATCAATGGAAAGATAATTTAATCAAGAACATAATGCAACAAAATTTGTTCAATGATCTGTACTGTATTCCATGAAAAGTTATGGCCAAATAACCAGAAAAAGGAAGCCCAACTTGCTTAGGTTGATCTCAGGTAGCTTTCCTTCATCCGATTGTAGCCAATGAGCATGAGTGTTTAGAGAGCCAATCGGGTATCATCTTGTTTTGGCCATGAGCCAATCAGGTCACAGCAGGATCCAGTGATTGATGTCGTGTATTGAAGTTGAGAGGAGAACATTGGTCGGTGTGTTATGTGATCGCTATCAAGTTGATTGGGTTTTTTTGTGTTCTTTCATTTAGTGAACATATGAAAGCATAATTAACGTTAATTAATGTAGACGTTATTACTTTAGAGCAGGAGGTCTTCCAACTTGGCCCTTTTATGATTAGTGGACTTCAACTCCCAGAATTCCTCAGCTAGCCATGCTGGCTGAGGAATTCTGGGAGTTGAAGTCCACCAGTCACAAAAGGGCCACGTTGGAAGACCCCTGAGTTAGAGGAACATATGAGAGCATAATTAATGTTAATTAATGTAGACGTTATTAGTTTAGAGCAGGGGTCTTCCAACGTGGCCCTTTTATGATTGGTGGACTTCAACTCCCAGAATTCCTCAGCCAGGTACGCTGGCTGAGGAATTCTGGGAGTTGAAGTCCACAAGTCACAAAACGGCCATGTTGGAAGAGCCCTGATTATATCTAGAGGAACAAGAAAACATCTCAGTGTAGAAAAGGCAAAATACCACCACCAAGGAAAATCAGATTTTCCAAATTTAAATACCTCTTGTCCAGTCAGAAAAAGAAGCAGGTCTCCTTCCTCTTCCTCGCACATATGGATTTGTATTACTGTACGGATGGCTGCTTCGAGGTAATCCCGTTCGGGCTCCGGAGTATAAAAAATCTCCACCGGATGCGTACGGCCAGGAATGGTGAGCAGAGGGCAGTTATCGAAATAAATCTGAAACTTGCCAGCATCTAGAGTGGCGCTCATCACTATCACCTAAAAAAAAAAAAAGATAGGAAGAATGAAAAAAAATGGGTCTTTCGGGTAACAAAGGCTTACATTTCAAACGCACAAGGGTCTCGCTTTTCGAGGGTCATTTTGGGCTCAATTTGGTGGTAGGTTGAGGACTTACCTGTACTGGGGGGGGAAAAAATAAATAAATCAGGATAGTTTGTTCAGTTACAACAGGGGCCTTCAAACTTGGGCCTTTGATGACTTGTGGACTTCAACTCCCAGAATTCCTCAGCCAGGCACATGTGCCTGGCTGAGGAATTCTGGGAATTGAAGTCCACAAGTCATCAAAGGACCAGGTTTGAAGACCCCTGATATAGACTTTAAGAGGAGTGGACTTCAACTCCCAGAATTCCTCAGCCACCATGCCTGGCTGAGGAATTCTGGGAGTTGAAGTCCACAAGTCACCAAAGGGCCAAGTTTGAAGACCCCCGATATAGACGTTAAGAGGAGTGGACTTCAACTCCCAGAATTCCTCAGCCAGCGTGCCTGGCTGAGGAATTCTGGGAGTTGAAGTCCACAAGTCATCAAAGGGCCGAGTTTGAAGACCCGAGTACAAGAATGAAGCCCAGCTGTTGCCAGGGGGTCAGAATGGGAAATGGCCAAGATGGCAAAGTATCCATGGCAACGGCATCTGCCAAGGCTATGGGGATGGAGGAAACAGGGAAATAGGAAGCGGATCTATGTCCCCCCCATAGCACACATCTCACCCCCCCAACACACCAGGAGAGAAGCTGCCCTGAAGATGAGGTGGTCAGCCATATTGGGGGACCAGAGACCACTCTAATACAGAACAAATGCTGCCCAGGTGGCAGAAGAGGGAACGGCTTCAACCAGCCCTGTCTAATCACCCTACCAGTAAAATAAGATTTATATATTAAAAAAAAGGTAGGACAAGAAGCAACGGATGGGAATTAATCAAGGAGAGAAGCAACCTAGAATGAAGGAGAAACTTCCTGACAGGGAGGACAATTGACCAGTGGAACAAGAAGTTGTCTTCAGAAGTCATGGATGCTCCATCACTGGAGGCTTTTAAGAAGAAAACTGGACAGCTATTTGTCTGAAAGGGTTTAGGGCAGGGGTCCAGTACCGGTCCACACAAACAAGCAAAGCCCCATCTGTGGGATGCAGGCAGCACTCAAAACCACACACCCTCCGGTCCATGGAAAAACCTCTCTCCACGGAAGCGGTCCCTGGTGCCCCAAAGGATGGGGAACCTCTAGTTTAGAGTCTCCTGGTTGGACTAGAAGACCTCCAAGGTCCCCTCCCAGTCTGTCATTCTGATTCAAAATCATCTAGAGCAGTGGTTCTCAACCTTTTTAATGCTGCGACCCCCCAACCGGTTATAAGTCGAGGACTACTCAACTGGTTCAGCACCGTTTGCAGAATGGGACTTTTGGTGAGCTCAGCAGGGCAGAGACAGCCTGGACAATTCCTATTGGCTTTTGAAAGCCAATAGAATTAGACTCTATTCAAGAGAGTCTATTCCATTGGCTTTCAAAAGCCAATAGAATAAAAGGAAGTAGCACAGCTAAGGAAAAGGGGGGGAAAATGGCGGACTGCGTTGTTTGGCGACCCCCGTGAAATGGTCGTTCGGCCCCAAATGGGGTCCCGACCCACAGGTTGAGAACCACTGCTCTAGAGCAGTGTTTCCCAAACTTGACAATTTTAAGGCATGAGGACTTCAACTCCTAGAATTCCACAGCCAGCAACGCTGGCTGTGGAATTCTGGGAGTTGAAGTCCACATGCCTTAAAATTGTCAAGTTTGGGAAACAATGCTCTAGAGATACTCTCAAGGCCTCAAGCAGCAGCTTTCTCAGCCCGACAGCTTGTTTCAGCCTTGAAACAAAATACTATTTTTTCTTCCTTTCTTTTTTTCCCTTTGCAACCCCCCCCAGGCCGCTTGATATATTCCGCTGACCTTTAAATCAGACCTCTGCCTTACAACCTCCTTCAGCACTCCCATCAAAATATCCGTAGCCAGGGTCCTTTCGTGGGCCTCGTCAAGAATGATGACCCCGTAACGTTCGAGCAGAGGGTCATTCATGGCTTCACGTAGCAACATACCGTCAGTCATATACCTGAGGGGAAAACCAGAGGGGATTAAAATCCAGGGTGGCTAAGTTTTGCTTCTTCTCTATTTTATTTATTTTTTCATTGGGAAAAAAATAACAAGAACTTTAACTTGATTAAGCAGCATTGAAAACATTTAAAAAAGCATTTAAAACAGCATTTAAAACATCGTATCTACACAGTTATGGCGCCATGCGTGCCCGTGCTCTGGCAGCCAACAAAGAAACAAAGCTTAAGACTCTGATTTGTAATATTTATCGAAAAGAAAGGTAAAGGTACGTCGCAAGAACTCCAGCAAGGGTTTCAGTTTTTAATAGAACCTCTTAAACCTCTCACTGGGGAAAAAATGGAGGTAGTGACAGATTTTATCTTCCTGGGCTCCAAAATCACTGCAGATGGGGACTGCAGCCAAGAAATTAAAGGACACTTGCTCCTGGGGAGGAAAGCTATGGCCAATCTAGACAGCATACTAAAAAGCAGAGACATCACCCTGCCAACAAAAGTGCGTATAGTCCAGGCCATGGTTTTCCCAGCTGCAAGGTATGGCTGTGAAAGTTGAACCATAAGAAAAGCTGAGCGCCAAAGAATGGAGGCCTTTGAGCTCTGGTGCTGGAGAAGACTCCTGCGAGTCCCCTGGACTGCAAGGCGATCCAACCGGTCAGTCCTAGAGGAGATCAACCCCGACTGCTCTTTAGAAGGCCAGATCCTGAAGTTGAAACTCAAATACTTTGGCCACCTAATGAGAAGGAAGGACTCCCTGGAGAAGAGCCTGATGCTGGGAAAGATGGAGGGCAAGAGAAGAAGCGGACGACAGAGAATGAGGTGGCTGGATGGAGTCCCTGAAGCAGGAGGCGTGAGCTTAGATGGACTCCAGAAGATGGTAGAGGATAGGAAGGCCTGGAGGAACGTTGTCCATGGGGTCGCGATGGGTCGGACACGACTTCGCAATTAACAACAAACCTCTCACAGGTTTAATAGCTGCCAACCCCATGAACGGAATGGAAAATGATTCTCTACAGGCAGTTCGGAGTAAGCTCTACTCTTATTCCCTTTGCAAATTTACAAAAAGGTGCACATACAAACCTTTTCTTTCTACATCGTTCGCTCCCTAGAGACTAAAATGGAAGACCTGTAACTTGAGCTGGCCACAAACAAGGAGTGTATATCGGAGATGGTGACCCTTTTTGAGCTGTATGCAACGAAATTTCATTTTGATGTATGCCGATTGGTGTACTTTCAAAGTGACAATAAAGGTGTTGTTGTTATTATTATTAAGCAGGCACACACCTGGGACATATTACTTAGGCTCCACGCTTTTACAGCCAAAAGGGGTTAATCTCCTTTTTCATTCCCTTCACCCAGGGTCGTGGGCTGTGGGCTGTGGCCTGCTGGTCACTGGGCTACAAGACAGGCTAGCTAGTGCGTATGTGCACACATCCCTTCACTGGTGCTAGCGCCACGGCCACAGGGCGCAAAAACAGGCCACCGCTGCGTCTCTGGGTGCAAAAAAGGGATGCCACCGTGCCACAGGGCACAAAAATGGGCCGCCACAGGGCATGGAAGTGGGATACCAGTGCGCCACGCAGAACGAGACAGGGCTAGCGAGTATCATACAAGCACTAGCCCTGCCTGTTTGTGGCACGCGCGTGCTCGTGGCCCTGTGCACATGCTAACATGTAAAATATTCACCATTCACTGTAGATCAAGGGTCTTCAAACATGGCCCTTTTATGACTTGTGGACTTGTGCCTGGCTGAGGAATTCTGGGAGTTGAAATCCACAAGTCATTTTTTGGGGGGGGGAGGAGAAGAGAGGAAAACGCATCAGCACACATACTTACTTCAAAATGGTTTTGGCGCTGCTGCAGTCTTCAAATCGAATAGAGTAACCGACCTCCTGGCCCAGCATCACATCCATCTCGTCGGCGACTCGCTGGGCCACACTCATCGCAGCCACTCTCCTCGGCTGTGTACACGCGACCCCTCGCTTCGGTCCGGGCAGGGACCGCATGTAGTCAACACACCACTGAGGGATCTAACGGGGGTCGGAAAAAAGGAGTCTCAGTTATGACAAATACGTACGAAGAGGTTATAGCTGGCCGGGAAGTAAAGGCAAACAGATCTGCAAGCCAAGCTGCTCTTATTAACATTTAGAGTTTTCAGGGAATTCGATTTAGAATGCAAATAAGGGCGCCCCGTTTTACTTTTTTTTCTTAAGCCAGCCAGTAGTCCCAAAGGTGCTTTTTTTTTTTTTTCAGGAGGCAACTGGACTTTCTTGTTTTTCCTTTGAAGACATTTCGCTTCTCATCCCAGAAGCTTCTTCAGCTCTGACTGGATGGTGGGGGAAAGGAAGGATTTATACTCCTTGCAGACAGCTGGTCATTTGCCTTCTTTTAGAGCAGCGGTTCTCAACCTATGGATCGCGACCCCATTTGGGGTCGATCGACCTCTTTTGTGGGGTCGCCAAACGCGGCGATCCGCCATTTTGTCGCCTCCGGGGGCGTGCTGTGCCTCCGGGGGGGGCGGTGCCGCGCACGTGCGCCGTGCGTGGGGGCGGTGGCGCGCCTCCGGGGGGCGGCGCCATGCATGCGCACCACGCATGGGGTGGCGGCGCGCCTCTGGGGGGCGGCGCCGCGCATGCATTACGCGCATGGGGGCGGCGCCATGCCTCCGGGGGTGGCGCCGTGCATGCGCGCTGCGCGTGCGGGCGCCGCCGCGCGTGCGCACCGTGTGCGGGGGCCCGCCCCATGCACGTCGCGTGCGGGGGGGCACCGCGCATGCGCGCTGCGCGCGGGGGCCCCACCCCCATGCGCACCGCGCATAACGTTTGTGTGACGGGGTCGCCGTCACACAAACGTTGAGAACCGCTGTTTTAGAGAGTCCTTGAAGCCACTTGGAGGTCTGTCTCTATCCTCAGAAATACAAACATAGACTCATCCCCAACAGCCTGTTCCTGTGTTCGACAGTGAAGGGACACAGGGCGGAAAAACATTCTGCAGAAAGCACAGCTCCACAACACGGCCTTTTCAGCAGTTCCATGAAAGCTCCACACCCATTTGCGTTACTCAGGTGGCCCCTGAGGATGCAGACAAAACTCCAAGAGGCCTCAAGGACTCTCCAAAAGGAGGCAAAGGACCAGCTGTCTGCAAGGAGTATAAATCCTTCCCTTCCCCACCATCCAGTCAGACCTGAAGAAGCTTCTGGGATGAGAAACGAAATGTCTTCAAAGGAAAAACAAGAAAGTCCAGTTGCCTCCTGAAAAAAACAGCTTTGGGACAACTATGACCTGGATGACTTGAGAATCTCCATAGATATTAAGCCAGCCAATAATCACATTCAAGAGAGAGAGAGACAGAGAGAGACAGAGAGACAGAAAAAGAGAGACATAGAGAGATAGAAAGAGACAGAAAGAGAGACAGACAGAGAGAGAAGACAGGAAGAGACAGACAAAGAAAGAGACAGACACAGACACAGAAACAGACAGAGAGAAGGAGAGAGAGACAGAGACAGAGACAGAAAAAGAGAGAAGAGAGAGAGAGAGAAAGAGACAGAAAGAGAGACAGACAAAGAGAGAAGAGAGGGAGAGAGAGAAAAAGAGAGACAGGTAGAGAGAGACAGAGACAGACAGAGACAGAAAGAGAAACAGACAGAGAAAGAGAGACAGACAGACAGAGAACAACTTTGTCTTCATTGTGCTACATTATCAGTCTAACTTTTGCAAGATGCCAGAATAGCAGATATTTATAGCTTGACACAGGTTTACACTGAGCAATTCAAATCTCACTGAACCTTTTATGAAAACGTAACAGACCCTGAAAATGCTAGAGTTGTGGGGGGGGGAGAGATAGCAAAAGCTCATTGCATCATTTTCTAGTCATTAAACAACAGAAAAGGCTCATTTAACAGATCTCGCTCAAAAGGCGACGTCTTGTGATGTGTCAGTGCACAATGGATTTCTTTTAAGGACCCCTAAAATACGGCTAACAGCAGGCTCAGTAATTTCACAGAAAAACGTTCGAAGTTACAGGGTGCTGCCCGCGAATCGGCGCAAGGTTCACCAAAATTAAGACCGGCCGAACCAAAACCTTACCTGGGTGGTTTTACCGGAGCCCGTCTCACCCACCAGCACGAAGGACTGGTGTCTGATGAGGATGTCGGTAAATCTTTCCTTGTATTCCCACACCGGGAGCAGCAGGCGTTTCTTTAAGATTTCATAGTAACGGGGGGTGTGGGGCAGGTTTGTAAAGGGATTAATGCCCTGTGGGAACAAGGTGGGCTTCAGAGGGGGCAGCCCGACGCCAGCCAGGAGGGCCGAGTTGGCCGAAGGGCGTAAATCCTTTTCCTTCTCTCTTTCCCGGTCGCGATCTCTCTCTCGGTCCCGGTCTTTGGAGCGATCATCGCGATCCCGGTCACGATCTCGATCCTTCCTAAAATGACGACAAAAACATCGTTTTTGAAAGGAATGAAAACTCTATGCTATTTTTTTTTAAAAAAAGTGAATTAAAGGGGGGGGGGAGACAAAAACACAACCCGGGGACTGAACCAATCCTCAATTGTTTTCTAAGAACCTAGAAATGTTTCCAGAGATTTGTTTCCCCTTGCCCAATTTGTGAAGTTACTGATTAATAATAATAATAATAATAATAACAACAACAACAGAGTTGGAAGGGACCTTGGAGGTCATCTAGTCTAACCCCCTGCTCAGGCAGGAAACCCTATACCACTTCAGACAAATGGCTGTCCAGTCTCTTCTTAAAAACTTCCAGTGTTGGAGCATTCACTACTTCTGGAGGCAGGTGGTTCCACTGGTTAATTGTTCTGACTGTCAGGAAGTTTCTCCTTAGTTCCAGGTTGCTTCTCTCCTTGATCAGTTTCCATCCATCACTTCTTGTCCTGCTTTCAGGCGCTTTGGAGAATAGCTTGATTCCCTCTTCTTTGGGGCAGCCCCTCAGATACTGGAACATGGCTATCATGTCCCCCCTCGTCCTTCTCTTCATTAAACTAGACATCCCCAACTTGAGCAACCGTTCCTTGTATGTTTTAGCTTCCAGTCCCCTGATCATCTTTGTTGCTCTTCTCTGCCCTCTTTCTAGAGTCTCAGCATCTTTTTTACATGGTAATTTTGCTGTTTGCTTGGGGCTTTTTTTTGTGGGTTTTGCATTCGTTTTAATGTTTTATTCTTGTACATACTAACTGCTTACGAGCAAAATGTGGATTAGGGCTATACATGATTTCAACCCAATAGACAGATTTGTGGGCGATTCAGGTTCTCTGAATGCTCAGCGTAACAAATTAACCTAAGGCAGTGTTTCTCAACCTTGACCATTTTAAGGCATGTGGACTTCAACTCCCAGAATTCCACAGCCAGCAATGCTGGCTGTGGAATTCTGGGAGTTGAAGTCCACATGCCTTAAAATGGTCAAGGTTGAGAAACACTGACCTAAGGGCTGGTGTTCCATTTCTTGATCAACATTTGATTACCGAAAAGAGACTCTAAAAACACATCCAGGATCATATTTTTTTTAAACGAAAATCTAAATTTTAAGTGAAGACAATCTGGCAAAAGACTGAGATTTGACTCTCCCAGATACTTATTGGGGAAGCGACGTATTCTTGTGTCTTTTTCCACAAGATATTAGATATTTTGAGTAGGGGTCATTATCTGATACGCTTTGAGAACATGTTGCAGACGGTTCCGCAGGATCTCTGCCAAACACGAAGTTCCAAGTGACTAGAAAACAAACTGAGGAAGATGCAACTATCCACTCCTACTAGCTCTATATAATCTCAGTTTATCTCTGGTTACTGACAAACGGATCAAGGGACCCTCTGACTAAAATCAGCTTTCCAATGTTTTGATTCAGAGATTTATTTAGCAAGCCGGCATGCCAAACAAGCCATTGGAAAGGAATTGATCCGTTTGCTACTAGGTTTTGCATTGGCTGGGATCCCAAGCCAAGAACTTGGGCCCTGCAGGCACTCATTTTTGCGCCCAAATTATGGAAAAGAGAACCATTTTACCATTCCTATTTTTTATGTCGCTCTGCCTCTGTATGCAACATATGACTTTTACCAAAGCTGTTAAACCTGGTGACCGCAAAACAAAGGTTGAAGATACTCAGATATTGTCCTAAGCAATGATGGTTTAACTAAGCTTTTAAGAATGCCAGATTGAAAGCATAAGCTATGTTCACAGAGCATCAGATTTAAGTTTATTCAACATACAAAGCCCAAACCAAGCCAAGGCAATCGTACTACAGTAGCCCCACGTGATCCCCTTCTGCAACTTTGACAAACAGAGTCAACGGGGAAGGCAGTTTCAGTTAACAACCGTGTTACTTACTTAACGACTAGCAGGGACTAGTGGCGAGAAAGTTCGTAAAAGGGGGCAAAATTCACTGTCTCGCTTAACAAGAGAAACTACGATTTGCACTCACTCCAAGAAATGTAACGCAACATGTAATCCAAGTAACGCACACAGACCTCATACATACGAGAGAAAGGAAGCGTGATGGGGTATTCAAAGCAGGAAGACCCAGATTCTAATCCTCCGATGGGCACAGAAGCCAGCTGATTTGGGGCCAGTCCCTCTCTTTTAGCAAGACCCCCCCAAAAAATGGTTTCTACTGACCAGCATTGAACCAACATAGTAGATGATGGTCCATAACCTTCAATTAAAGGCTTTTATCCTGTAATGGACTGATACTGGCTGATGACGTGTTTCTCCAAAAATAAAACCGAGTCTTATATTAACTTTTGCTCCCAAAGACGCATTAGGGCTTATTTTCCGATTAGGGCTTATATTCGGGAAAATACGGTACTAAATGCATTGGTCTGGCTGATGATCTTAACTGAGGCTTATTTGGGAGCTGATTTTCCGTTTGGGTCTTATTTTGGGGGAAAACATGGGTATTTACAATAAACATACATTGCGTATCCTACACAGATGTGTCTCAGGCAAAACATTTCTGCACTGCAGCTTCCTTCCCCCCCCCCCCAAATGTACTTCCTTGGTGGTTTTTCCTCATGCTAGCAATGCTTTAAGCATTTTTTTTTTGAAGCCCACCAAGTTGAATTGTGCAAAATGAAACAACGGGGGAAATGATAGAGAAAGTAATGTTTCTGCTGCCTCTGACAGGAGAAGATTGATGGGATATTTCCCAAGTACCACAGGAACATAAATCTGTCTGAAATATCAAACATGAACAACATATTTGACAGATGTTCCCATTAATTCCAACGGTGAAAATACCACTGTACAGCAGACCAAAAATTTAAACCTATTTTCAAACAGGGATATTGTTTACCTATCTTTCTCCTTTTCTGTAAGGTAATTATATTAATACATAATTCAAAGATGTAATATTAATATGCAGTTTTAAACAACACTTTGGAGCAAGAATGCTAAAAATTACTGAAGCTCTAGTGTGCATATATGTAAGTTGTATGTGGAGAATTCATATTTGTATAGGAACCTCAACTTGGATTTCTTTTTTTTAATGGAGTAAGATTCATTTTATGGTTGTCACCATGCTGCTTTGTTGGACAGAGGGGGCGGCCATACAGGTATAAATAAAGCATTTAAAACTGAAGGATATGTTCACCTTCTGTTTTTTATTCACATTTAAATTAACAGAGATTTAATTAAGTGGGATTTCTTTAATTAACCAAACGTCTACTCTGAAATTAAAAAAAAAACCCACTTAAGTGTTGATGATCTTATTGGCCATAAGAGTCATGTTGGTCAGCTGCCTTAAGTGTTGTTATAAACAGAAAGGTGAGGTATAACATCAGTAGATAAAGCTGAAGTGATTAAACTGCAAGAATTATTATGGAGTTGCAATAATGGTAGCACTATTTCCTAACTGAAAAGGATGCATGCAAAATTCATTTGGTGAGTTGAAGACTATAAAGCTACCTTCAACAGCACCAAAAAAAAAAAAAAAAGCTGAAACAAGAAAGGATGTCCATGAAATGCACAACGACCTCAAAGGGGGAAATATTTAGGGTTTTAGTTTTTTTTAAAAAGCCGACCTCAAAATATAATTTTTCCGTTTCCATTTCACCACCACTTGTTTAAAAGCTCAGAGCTCCATAAAATGGACTTGCCTGCTTAGGTTTAAACCAGGGGTAGGCAACCTTGGCTCTTTTACGACTTGTGGACTTCAACTCCCAGAATTCCTGAGCCATCCACAAGTCACAAAAGGGCCAAAGTTCCTCATCCCTGATTTAAACCATAAGAAAATAACAGGAGGTGGTGTTACAATGAGTTGCAAATGTCTGGGAAGAATGAGCTACATGTGCCTAATTTAAGCTACAGACAGTTCAAACTCCAGAGAGGAAATTAAGCTTTTTATCACCTACGGCAGTGTGTCTCAACCTTGACAATTTTAACGCTTGTGGACTTCAACTCCCAGAATTCCACAGCCAGGCATTGCTGGCTGTGGAATTCTGGGAGTTGAAGTCCACATGCCTTAAAATTGTCAAGGTTGAGACACACTGACCTACGGCATTCAAGAATTAGAGGGAAAAATGCAAAACCGGTTCCGTTGAACATTATACCTCTTCTATGATTCACACCAGAAGACTCAAAATGTTTGATTACTGGAACAAACCCATCTAAGTACAAAGAGCAAAAAATAGCATTGACTGCATGACTGAGGGCTGTTAATAGAAATAACCAAGCGCGTTGCTTCAGCTTTTAATTCTGGGGCAGGGAGTTTTAATCTCTACAAAGAAATGTTAATGCAAGGGGAAAGTGTATCGTTTCCTCTAATTTCACAAAGTAAATAATATTCTACCTGAATTAAAATGCTGCTTATGCCTGTTATATTGGGAGTGGGGGTGGGGGTTGGGGGCTGTTCAGGCCTCAATGACTTTGTTTTATAACTTTCAAAATGATTAAATGACCATGAAAAGTCTGTAGTGCCTTCCACAAATAGAATTTAAAGCAAGCAATTTTAAAGTTCCTAACAGGAAAAAGCACCATATACAATATAGAATAACAAAGTTGGAAGGGATCTTGGAGGTCATCTAGTCCAACTCCCTGCTCAGACAGGAAACCCTATACCATTTCAGACAAATGGTTGTCCAATCTCTTCTTAAAAACTTCCAGTGTTGGAGCATTCACAATTTAGGACCATATAAAGAAGGACTAAGGACCATATAAATAATATTAATTTGCAGAAATCCTGTTTTTAGTACAAGCACCCATGTACAATATTTTTATGAGGCCAGGACTCCTATTAAACCTGCAAATCACATTAATCGCTATCCCAAAAATAAACTAAGAGTGGCAGGGCATATGTTGAATAACCTTTCTCACCTGTATTTTCAGATGAACACTTTTTTTTTTTTAAAAAAAGTTCATTATAGCACTGGAAAAGATACATCCATCTTACCAAAAATTAACTGTAAGGATTCAAAGGGAGAAAAAGTTAAATAAAGTAAAAAGTGTTAAAAATTAAATCCAACTAAAACCAAAATGATAACAACTGACACAAGAACAATAGCCGTTTTGTACTGCACAGGATGCAATTATCCTGGGAAAGTACTGAAGTTTTAATCAAGTACTAGCTTTCATGTTCTTCATTTTTTTAAAAAAAAAAATGGTATAATTGGGAAATTCCAACTTAGAAAATGGCCCCGAAATAACAGAACAAATCCTGCTGACATTTGTCAATATGTTATATTTATACTTTTCTTTGCAAATTATATGGGGAATAAAGCTGCAGAAGTGAAGCCCCAAATTTCTCACACTGCTCCTTGTAATCTTTTTTTCGTGGATGCGAAATTTAATGAGCTCTGCAAGTGACAATCTGTTGAAAGAAACACAAAGCTCCCTGCAGCACAATTCCATGTGACACAAAATAAAGTTCAGAGACCTGACTTTCAAGTGATCAAACAGGCTATACAATAGCTTGTGCAACAAGAGACGTGACATTTTCAAAAGTAACTTTGACCAAATGTAAATGCTGTTATCTCTTTGTGTCACTAAATTGTCGCTTTCAGCTGGGGGTGTTCAAATCCACATTTCTAACATAACCAGTTGCTTCTTCCCTACATTTGTGTCTAACCAAGACACAATCACTTTTAGAATAAATATCCCAGCAATGCTTATCACATGTCCAGGAGCAACGCGGATAAAGCCCACCAAAATGATCAGCTGATAAAAGAATTTCAAGTCACTTAATTTTATTAAGGATTCAAATGAGGGCAGAGGAACTAATTTTTAAAAAAAGCAAACAAACTATAATGCATGCATGGAAATCATGGACACTAGACAAAATAATTTCAAATGCAAAAAGCTGGAAAGGGGTAGACAGCTATCAAGGGCTGCGAACAATGTAGGTCAGGTGTCTTCAAACATGGCCACTTTTAAGATTTGTGGACTTCAACTCCCAGCCTGAGGGTTGGCTGAGGAATTCTGGGAGTTGAAGTCCACAAGTCTTAAAGTGGCCAAGTTTGAAGACCCCTGATGTAGGTGGAATGGAAAGATCCATAGTTGCTTTTTTTAAAAATTTGTTTGCTGCCCATCTCATCACAAGGCAACTATAGTTAACCACAGTTAGTGGTAAACAAGCCTTGAGAAAGATGGCTCATAATCAAAAGCCAATCAACCTTAAGTGAGGGAGGTGTTCACCTTGCCTGAACAGGTATGTATCGATTCAAATTTGTCAGCCTCGGTTTAGTAGCAGCAATAACAATAATTCATTAAACTTCTATACTGCTCAACTCTTGTCCACCCAACGATTAAAAACTTTCAATAAAATAGGATGAAAGATGGCAGGCGATGAAGCCACCCAAGGTCAGGCTGAAAAGCCAAATAATACCCCAAAGGTGCTTTTTCCAAAAGGCAACTTGACTTTCTTGGTCTTTTTGTTTATTTGGAAACATGCCACTTCTCCTTCAAGAAGCTTTCTCAGTTGGAAATGCAAAGCAAAGTGTTTTTAAAGGGGTGTGTGGAATAAACAAGAAAGTCCAGTTGCCTTTTGGAAAAACCATCTTTGGGATAGCCATGACCTGAATGATGGAGAGTCTCCATAAGCATTTATCCAAATGCTACATCATCACAGCTACCTCACTCTTGCAAACTAAAATGAAAAAAGATTTCTCTTTCACGGAAAGTCCCTCACCCCCAGAGTCTTCAAGGCAGGGGTCTTCAAACTTGGCCCTTTGGTAACTTGTGGACTTCGACTCCCAGAATTCCTCAGCCAGGAAGGGTTTTTTTTAAGACTAACAGAAGAGGGAAGGGACCTTGGAGGTCTTCTAGTCCAGCCCCCTGCTCAAGCAGGAGACCCCATACCATTCCAGACAAGCAGCTGTCTAATTTCCTCTTAAAAACCTCCAGTGATGGAGCATTTACAACTTCTGGAGGCAAGCTGTTCCACGGGTTAATTGTCTTCTCTGTAAGGAACTTTCTCCTTAATTCCAGGTTGCTATTCTCCTTGGTTAGTTCCCATGCATTCCTTCTTATAATGCCTGTTTTTTGTTTTGTTTTTTAATCTTCAGGAGCTTTGGAGAATAGATTGGCCCCCTCTTCTTTGTGGCAATCCCTTAGATATTGGAAGACTATCATGTCACTCCTAGTTCTTAACACATAATATAGAATAGTAGAGTTGGAAGGAACCTTGGAGGTCTTCCAGCCCACCCTCCTGTTCAAGCAAGAGTCCCTATATCATTTCAGACAAGCAACTCTCCAGGCTCTTCTTAAAAACCTCCAACGATGGAGCACCCACAACTTCTGGTGGCAAGCTGTTCCCCTGGTTAATTGTCCTCACTGTTAGGAAGTTTCTCCTTAGTTCCTGGTTGCTCCTCTCCTTGATTAATTTCCATCGTTTCTTGTTCTGCCTTCTGGTGCTTTGGAAAATAATTTGACCCCCTCTTCTTTGTGGCAGCCCCTCAAATACTGGAAGACTGCTATCATGTCCCCCCCCCATCATCCTTTTTTTCTCCAGACTAGCCAAACCCAACTCCTGCAACCGTTCTCCACGTGTTTTAGTCTCCAGCTCTAATCCTCTTTGTTGCACTTCTCTGCACTCTTTTTCTAGAATCTCAACCTCTTTTAATATATCAGGACACCCAAACTAGGATGCCGAATTCCAAAACCGGCCTCCCCATGCTCTGGGGCCGAGGGTTTCTCCACCCAAGGCAGACCCTGAGATGTTTCATTACCAGGTTGGGTAAAACAGCTTCAGTAGAGTTTAGGGCAGGGGTAGGCAACCTTGGCTCTTTTATGACTCGTGGACTTCAACTCCCAGAATCCCTGAGCCAGCATGGGGGAACTATGGCCTCCCTTGATGACTCGTGGACTTCAACTCCCAGAATCCCTGAGCCAGCATGGAGGAACTATGGCTCCCTTGATGACTGGTGGATTTCAACTCCCAGAATCCCTGAGCCAGCATGGGAGTCATAAAAGAGCCAAGCTTGCCTACCCCTGGTATAGGTCCTCCTGCTTGAGCAGGGGGCTGGACTAGATGACCTGCAAGGTCCCTTCCAGCTCTATCCCTCCCATTCCAAAGGCATCATAAACCTAACTCCCATCGGGATACCTACTATGGGAAGACCCTCACCCTAACCTACCCTAACCCATTCCTTGGGGGGGGGAAGCTCAGACGACCCAGCCAAAGGCTTCTCTCTCTCCCCGCCCGCCCGCCCGCCCCTCGCAGAAGGCCCGGCCTCCCCCGCGAGGGAGCACGTGCGCGGCCCGCGATCCGCAACCAGCCCGGCCCGGAGGCCTTGCAAGGCGGGCACGGCCTTGACCACAGGCCGCTCTCTCCCGCCGTCCACAGCCTCCCCCCCCCCCCGCAAACACACGCATGCGCACTTCTCGCCGCCCTCCCCCCCGAAGGCCCGAGGTGGGGTGGAGGAAGAAGAGGGCTCCGCTCACCCATCGGCGGCGGCGGCGGTGGCGCGTTTCTTGTTGGAGCCGTAGTCGTCGCCGAGGTCGAGGCGGTGGCGCTTGGACATGGCGGCGGGGGACGCCGACCCTGCCAGGCAGCCGAGAGCGAGCGAGGTTGAAGCAGCTAAAATGGCGGCCGGAAGGAAGCCGCGGCGGCGCCGGAAGCGCCGCGCGCGGGGGAGGGAGAGAGAGAATGGAGGGGGGAAGGGGAAAAAAACGGGACGGGTCCGTTCCTGGGAGGCGTCCGGTGGGGAAACCACACTCCTACGCGCGGAGGTTCCGGGCAGCTTTTGGTGCAGCCGGCTTTTCCTTTCCCCTCTGTGTCTGGGGCAGGGGTAGGCAACCTTGGCTCTTTTATGACTCGTGGACTTCAACTCCCAGAATTCCTTGAGCCAGCCACGCTAAGAGGAAAGGGAGAGGTTTCCAAGCTGAGCCATGCTAGCTCAGGAATTCTGGGAGTTGAAGTCCACCAGTCATAAAAGAGCCAAGGTTGCCTAGCGCTGGTCTGGGGGATTCTTCTCCTTAACCAACCGCTTTAAACTAAACTTGTTTAGGTTTTTTTTTAGTTGAGGAGGGGGTGGGGGTCGACCTGTTTTCCAAAGTACCAGAAGGCAGGACAAGGAAAAAACGAATGGAAACTGATCCAGGAGAGAAGCAACCTGGAATTAAGGAGGAATTTCCTAAGAGTGAGAACAATTAACCAGTGGAACAACCTGCCACTAGAAGTTGCGAAAATGCTCCAACACTGGAGACTTTCAAGAAGAGACTTGTCTGGGATGGTAGGGTCTCTTGCTTGAGCAGGGGTTGGACTAGATGACCTCCAAGGTCCCTTCCAACTCTGTTATTCTACATTCTATGTTCTTAGGACTAGGTGTGACATGATAGCAGTCTTCCAATAGTTGAAGGGCTGCCCCAAAGAAAAGGGGGTCAACCTATTTTCCAAAGCAGCAGAAGGCAGGACAAGAAACAATGGGTGGAAACTAATCCAGGAGAAAAACAACTCAGAATTAAGGAGGAAAATTTCCAGACAGGGCAAACAATTAACCAGTGGAACGACTTGCTTTCAGAAATCGTGGGTGCTCCATCACTGGAGGTTGCTAAGAAGAGACTGGACAGTCACTTGTCTGAGATGGTAAGTGGACTATTCCTCCAATGGGATTTTCCCATGTATTTTACCAGGAAACATAGATAGGGCAGGCTAGAAAAGTCAGTGCCCTCCTAACCATTCCCAAGCACCCCGAATTTGTTGGCGATGTCCATTTTGCTCTACGAGTTCATGGTGACCTAACCCTAACCCTAAGTGGAATTTTCCTCCAATGGGATTTTCCCATGTAGTTTACCAGGAAAGATAGATAGGGCAGCCTAGAAAAGTCAGTGCCCTTCTAACCATACCCAAACACCCTGAATTTGTCATGGTGACCTAACCCTAACCCTAAGTGGAATTTTCCTCCAATGGGATTTTCCCATGTAGTTTACCAGGAAAGATAGATAGGGCAGCCTAGAAAAGTCAGTGCCCTCCTAACCATACCCAAGCACCCCGAATTTGTTGGCGATATCCATTTTGCTCTACGAGTTCATGGTGACCTAACCCTAACCCTAAGTGGAATTTTCCTCCAATGGGTTTTCCCATGTATTTTACCAGGAAACATAGATAGGGCAGCCTAGAAAAGTCAGTGCCCTCCTAACCATACTCAAGCACTCCAAATTTGTTGGCAATGTCCATTTTGAATACATGGTGACCTAACCCTAACCCTAAGGCTCTCCTGCTTGAGCAGGGGGGCTGGACTAGATGACCTCCAAGGTACCTTCCAGCTCTGTTATTGTATAAACTACAAAACATGGCTAATTCAGGAACCCTAAGTAAGCTAAGCAAATCTGCTTCTGTGATGCGAACTCTCCTTGAAGATATGATTGGTGTTTTCCCTTTTATTTTTCCTCTTTTCAAATATAGGTTAGTCTTCGACTTACCACAGTTCATTTAGTGACCGTTCAAAGTGACAGCGGCCCTGAAAAAAGTGACTTACAACCATTTTTCACACTTACGACCATTCCAGCATTCCCAGGGACACATGATCAAAATTCAGACATCTGTCAACTGACTCATATTCACTGATCAAATGTATCATTTAGCTGCAGAAATTTTGGGCTCAAAATTGGTTGTAAATCAAGGGCTACCTGTACTTTTTACAGCTGAACCTGTAGCTTCTCAAGATTTTTATGAAAAACAAATTCCTGTTATTTCTACCTTTCTGTGCCAGGGTATAATGGGTTTAAGACTTCCTAACTGGATGGATGAAACTATTACCTAACCGATGAGAACTGGGTTGTCCAAATGATACTAACTTGCTAAGTTAGTAAACAATTTTTAGGATACATTGCCCAGTCAAAGCTAATCACATCACCAGGAGCAACGCAGAGAAAGTCCATCAAAAAGGACAGTGGATGAAGAATTTCAAGTTGCTTCAACTCATTAAGGACTCACAGGCGGACAGAGAAAATACTTGTGTATCTCATATCCATGAGAGGAATCTGGAGTTAATTGGATTGAGATGGGCGGCAAATAGAAATTGAATGAATAAACCAATAAAAAACAGGCATTGACCTGCACAATGTAATATGAAATTAATATAAAAATATATTATAATATATAATAAATATAGTATAACATAAGAATACATAGCATCAGGTAATATTGAAATGTGTTTGAATATTAGTAGCTGGGGAGATCTCCAAGCCTGGCGATTTGGCTGCAAATGTTTCATCTCCATTCGGGGGGGGGGCACATTTTTAGTACACTTGAATTATGCGCTTTGAATTGTACGCTTTGAATTGTGCTCTTTGAAGCAATTCAAAGCGCACTGAAGATGTCCCCCCAAATGGAGACAAATTGCCAAGCTCGGAGACAAAGCAAGAGCTCCCCATAATATAGTAAATGTAATATAATTAATATAACATAATGTAAAATATCATTCTAGCCATGGTCTATCCACTACAGGATGATGGCCTCTTCCGCCCGTTTCTAACCTATGAGTTTTTCTTTTACCAATTGGGCTTACCATACTTGTTGATAGAATAGATAACAGATGGAAACTAATCAAGGACAGAAGCAACCTAGAACTAAGGAGAAACTTCCTGACAGTGAGAACAATTAACCAGTGGAACAACCTGCCTCCAGAAGGGGTGAATGCTCCAACACTGGAAGTTTTTAAGAAGAGACTGGACGGCCATTTGTCTGAAATGGTGTAGGGTTTCCTGCCTGAGCAGGGGGTTGGACTAGATGACCTCTAAGGTCCCTTCCAACTTTTATTATTATTATTATAATTGTCACTTTATTGGTTGGAAACAGGTAGAAGCAGCTTTATCCGGCAGTGGATAAACGGCTAGAATGACAATGATACACACACACCCACGTGTGCGTTTCTGTGCCACAGAATATGTGGATATATGCATAATTCTGTATTTATTTTTGTCATATTTATAGAGAGTGTATATTGGAGATGGTGACCCTTTTGAGAGCTGCATGCAACGAAATTTCATTGCAATGTATGCCAATTAGTGTACAAAGGGACAATAAAAATTATTATTCTATTCTATGAATATTTTATTTAGATGGCCCCCTACTCGCACATGGCAACTAATAATAATAAATACAATAAATGTAATGCAATAGAGGTGATGCGATTGATATCTGAGACTGACACACACACACACACACTTTTATATTTTATATTTATATATGTGACGGATGGTAGGAGAGGCGGGGGCACAACCGGGACCACGAGGCAGCCTCCCCAAGAGACCAAGGGAAATCTGCCTCCACTTCGGTCGTGGCTGAGCCGCCTCCGGAGCTCCCGCTCGGCCTCTCCAAACAGGGCCGGCCTGGTCCTTCTCCTCCTCCCCGGCCAGCCTGGAGGACTCCCCTGCCCTGCTCCTGCCGGAGCCGCGGCTGGGGACGCCGACACAGCCAGCCGGGGAGCGGGAGAGCGAGCAGCTAAAATGGTGGCCGGAAAAAAAGCCGTGGACGCTGCCGGAAGCGCCGAGCGCGAGGAGACGGAAAAAAAGAAAAAGCGGACCAGGTCCGTTCCCAGGACGCGTCCGGCAGGGGAACTTTCACCCCCGCGCGAGGGTTCCGGCCGTGCGTGCGCGAGGGTTCCGGGCTGCACGCCAAGTCTCTCTCTCTCTCCCCCCCCCCCGCTTAAGTGGCTGTCTAAACTCTTTTTAAAAACCTCCAGTGTTGGAGCACCACAACTTCTGGAGGCAAGCAGTTCCACGGGTTAATTATTCTCACTTTAAGGAAATTTCTCCTTAGTTCCAGGTTGCTTCTCTCCTGGATTAGTTTCCATCCGTTGCTTCTTGTCCTGCTTTCAGGTGCTTTGGAGAACAGCTTGACTCCCTCTTCTTTGGGGCAACCCCTGAGATATTGGAACACTGCTTATCATGTCCCCCCTAGTCCTTCCTTTCATTAAACTAGACCTACCCAATTCCAGTGTTAGAAGTAAAGTCTTCATCCTGGTTCATTCAAGCCCGGAATAAATAAGCAAACATGGCGACTGCTTTGGGAAGCAGGTTACAGTTTATTGCAGAAAGATGGTTCTTCAGGAAAGAGCAGAGGAGAGAAGGGCTGAGCACATGGGGCAGTAGGTTTTTATACCCCCTCTAGCCTTTTGTTTGGAATAGTTTCCTGTTCCTGTGGCATGAACTTTGAACTGAATCTGAGTGCTTTTCTAGGCCTTAGTATCTGTGGTTTAGTCCTATTATGTCCCAAAAGTCATCTCCTGCTTTCCTGGGGCTGGGCTAATGACTCTTAAGAGTTTTTTTGTCTGGCTTCAACCATGGTCTTAAATCTGCATTTGTATGAGGCTAGCTCTTGCTTGGGGCAAAGAAATTTGGGGCCAGGTTTGGTTTCTGCTTTTCAAAAAATCCTTTTGGTGAAAAATATATTTTCCTTTTTAATATTCCCTTCCGGGGGACTAACGTCCCTCACCAGCAACCATTCTTTATATGTTTTAGCCTCCAGACCTCTAATCATCTTTGTTGCTCTTCTCTGCACTCTTTCTAGAGTCTCGGCATCTTTTTTACATCGTGCCGAGCAAAACTGGACGCCGTATTCCAAGTGTGGTCTTTCTGTGTACAGTAGTTAATTTCTTAG